ATAAAATAAAAAAAACTATCAGATTCCTTTAAGTTTTGCTATGCATAGTCTCAACAAAAAAAAAAGCAAAATTTAGGGGGGAACACTTTCTTTTCTCTGACTAACATCATAAAATGCATTCCTCTCATGCCTAGTATACATTTTTTTAAATTCTTATCTGCAAATTCATGCCCACGTTATGATTGCAGACATTTTTATTTCTCTGAAGGATCCAAGTTAGATTTTAAAAGACAAATTATGGAATGTTATGCTACAAAGTGCTACCCTGTGTGTCAAACTGAAAATGCACAAAGAAATAAAAATTACAGTGAAGATGAACACTGGGGCCTTTTTCTGTAACGCATTTTCTTCCCACCTCTTGTCAAATATTTCAGAACTGCAGGTTCATCAGAAAAGGCCTGGTCCCACTATGTGCTACAAGCATCAAAGCAGCATCTCTTCCTCTTCAGTTGTCACAAGATTTGCTCTGTTGTTGATCATGAAGGCGCAGTTCACTCTCACCCCAACAGACACAAGGTTCCAAAGTTAACACTGGAGAATTCCAAAGGCATGTCACCTCCAATTCATCAGCACCCAGTCCTGTATTCTAAACATTCCTACACTTAATAAAAGCAGGAATAAGGAGGGGAGAGGGTTTGGGATGGAGAAAACATTATTTCTTAGAAATCTACTTGAAAGTATTTTCAATTCAAGAGGCAGAAGCTGATCCCAGATACTTCTAGTCCATCCTAGTGGGAATGAAGAGCCTTTGGGTGTGGTAGATCTTAGATGTGGTCTGAGGCTGAAGACAACAGCCTTCGCATGCAACGTCTGGAATCATTCATCTATTTCTTATATGGAGAAGAGAGAAAATAACCTTGAGCTCAAACTGTCAAAATGTTCCTTCCTCTTGCCATTCTCCTTTGTCATTTCAACTGGAATGTTGTCCCAGGTTTGGCTTTTTCCCATCCCAAAGAAATCCTTCTAATATTTCCACTTGGAAAGAGTATGTCACAAAAGGGTGAGGTACTTCATAAAGATGATGCAGACATTCCATTGTATGTACATAGCTAAAGGATATTTAGTGCTATTATAACAAGTCTATAACAGATCTTGCCAAAAGGGACTAGGATGTGAAAGAGAATTTTCAACAAAAAGGAAAAACTTTTGCCTTCTTGAATACCAAAGTACAGTCAAATATTTCATACAGCATAATTAGACCTAAATCAATTAGTGGTCAAAGCTCGTTAAAGACAAGAATGTAAAAAAAAAAAAAAACCATGTCGAAGCTTTAACTTTCAGCTGTGGTGACAATCCATGCCAGTTTGCTGAAATGAGGGACCTCAGGTCACCTGCTTATAGTATGTAAGGAGATAGGCCTCACAGCCTGCTATAGGCTATGATTTCTTTTTAAAAAACAGGGTCTACTAAACTGGATTCCATTTATACCTACTTTTACCAACCACTACAATAACGTGGTCTGTGGTTTGGATTTCAGTTTCTCTGAAATCAGGCAAGAATTGAAAACCTCTGAGGTACTCAAAGAGCAGAATCCTAGATTTGGACACTTTCCCCTCATCTTTTAAAGGTGTCACCACTCACTTTGATAGATGATTTCTTTCTCTAGTGACCAATTTTGGCTGTTCATAAAATACTCACTCTATTTTCAAAAAAAGCAATGAATGTCTTTAAAATATACCACACTGAACACCCATGTTTACTGCTACATTATTTGCAATAGCAAAGAGATAGAAGCAATACAAGTGCCCACCATCAACTGAATGGATAGAAAAGCTATGGTACACTCAGATAATGGAATATTATGCAACAAAGAAAAACAAAAACTTTTTTTTAAAAAACCATTATATATACAACACTGGGGGAGCCTGGAGGACATTATGTTGAGTGAAATATCTAAATCACAAAAGGAAAAATACTGTTTAACTCTGCTGTTATAAAATTGAACAGACAAATGGGTGTTGCCAGATAATGAGAAAAGAGTGTGTGGAAAATGAACACTGCAATAGAACAGATGAAGAGAAGAATTATCTGAAAGGAATATATGGTTAGGCATTATATTATGCCAACAGTCTGGAGCAAGGGATGCACTACAGGATGGGCTGGCAGAAGGAGAGGAGGGGAAGAAAATGTACCACGATGAATTTAAAAAAGCACCCTACTATTGTTATTTGGGTGAAATTTTATAGTGTTTTTAGGCTTTTGTCCTGGAGAGGCTGAAGCCAGGATGCTCCCTGGAGGCAAGGAGTCTGAGGCTCCATCTCACATAGTTTGGGCACATGGCCAGGAGGGACCAGTCTTTGAAGAGGGACACGATGATTGGAAGGGTAGAGGGACAGTGCAGGAGATGAAGACCCCAGATGAGATGGATTGACTCAGTGAATAGAGCAATGCGACTAGGTCTGTCAGAGACAAAAAGATTGGTTCAGGATAGGTCGGGGCCCAGAGCTAATGTACATAGGGTCGCTATGAGTCGCTATGTGTAGAACTGGCACTGCAATCCCAAATTTGTGTGGTTCGAATCCACCAGCTGCTCTGAAGAAGGATGGACAATCTCCTCCCTTGTGATTCACTCCCTCTGAAAACCCACTAGAGGGTCATCTATGGGTCAGTTCTGACTCAGTGGTACTCAACAACAGCAACATAAACATACATATAGGCACACCTCAAAAAAATTGGGTATTTCAGCATTTTTGCATTTACTATGTTGTACAACTATTACCATTATTTCAAACAATGTGTAGCTTCAACAGAAATTAGCACACCCTATGTGCCTAGATTTGATATAGATTATAGATGACAGCTGAGAATTATATGCAAAGTCACAGGTTATAGGTCTTAAGATACATATTTACACATATGAACTAACCAGACATATGTAAAGCATGGATTTAAAAACTGAAGAAGAAAACATTCAATAAAAAATTTAAAAGTCTATTTATGGTTTATCAGTAACTTTATGCTATTTTGTTGTCATGTGCTGTCGAGTCGCTTGCGACTCATAGCGACCCTATGTACAACAGCCCTAAACTCTGCTCTGTCCTATGCCAATCGCACTGTCTCCGACACTCCCATCCCAATTATCCCAGTCACTGAATCAATCCACCTCATAGAGGGCCTTCCCCTCCTGCGCCGTCCCTCCACCCTCCCAAGCATGATGTCCTTCTCCAAGGACCGGTCTCTCCTCACAACACGTCCAGAGTATGTTAGATGGAGCCTCAGAATTTTTGCCTCCAAGGAGCCACCTGGTTTAACCCTTTCCAGGACGAATCTGTTTGTTTTCCTAGCAATCCATGGTATTCTCAATACTCTTCTCCAACACCACAGCTCAAAGGCATCAATTCTCCTTCTGTCCTCCTTGGTCATTGTCCAACTCTCTGATGCATAACAAGTGATTGCGAAGACCATGGCCTGTATCAAACTTTATGCTATAGGTAAGCATCTGAGGAGAAGATTTGTGTTAGGTTTCCAATAAATGTCAAACCCTCCCCAAATCTGACATCCAAGCCCTTAAGTGCATGAGTTACCTATAAAATCACTCTCTAGCCAGAGTCAAATACTGCCACTCTTAGACATATACAGGCTCACTGCTTTTAACACCAAGTGAAGTTAAATCACACCATCTGTTATGACCTGCCCCACTTCAAAATCTTCCCCAGCAATGTGGACCAGAAGTAACTCCACCAATAAATACCATGTGAGAATTATGGCTGGGACACAACAGGGAAACATATATTCTCTCTGGACGATGACAGAAGAAGAAGCAATACTTTGGGATTGTGGTGCTGGAGAAGAGCACTGAGCATACCATGAGAACAAACAGGTCTGTCTTGGAGAAGGTGAAACCAAATTTCTCTTGCAGGCTAGGATTTTGAAGCTCCGTCTCACATACTTTGAGCACATGGCCAGGAGGGACAGGTCCTTAGAGGAGGAAATCATGATTAGAAAAGTGGAGGGGCATCACAGGAGAAGAACCCAGATGAGATGGATTGAAAAGGTAACAGATAATGGGAATAGGTGCGTTGGAGTCAATGAAACCAGCTACAGATAGAGCAGGCTTCAGAGCTGTTGTACGTAGGGTCACTATGAGGCATAGGAAACTCAACAGCACATAACAATAACAAACAATTTTTATTCTAGCTCTTCTTAATGATAGTCCCAAATTAGGGCTATGACACATATTAAGTGAAAGTAAAATTAACCAGATATAAGGAATTTCCATGCACGAAAAAAAGTGCATCTTGCTTACTTTTTTCTTCTTCTGTGATCTTACCCAGTTGGTATGACTTATCCCAAAAGCAAGAGGAAATCAGCCAGCTTTAAAGATCATTCACACAAATGTTCTACTTTCATAAGTCATTTGTTTCATGACATATGACCCATGTCACGAGGTAGAGGGCTGACCAGGTCCAGGAGATCTACTAAACACAGCAAGAATAGCCATTGCAAGATTCCTAAGTAATGGACAAGGTACGCTGAACCACAATTGCATTCACTCACTTAATACCATTTTGTGCCATGTGCACCCTACACCATGCTGATCCAAGATGTCCCTCTCAATCATCTGACCTCTCCTGGCGCCTTGACCTCCATTTCCCCCACAAGAAACGGTCAAGAGCTACCAGAAGGTACATGAAGGGCTCACTTCAATCTGTAGCTGTGAGGACTCAGAATATGTCAGGTCACTGCTGGAGGCTGTTGGTGGCACAGACCCAGGAACAACGTCACCTCTTGCAGCCTCACCAATAAAACCTCAGTCAACAATCGGTCTTACCTCAAACTCCACTCCTTAACCAAACAGCTAAGGAAATCGGAATGGAACCGCACTACAAAATGTATTGCAATCAGTTGTTTTCACCAAAACTCTAATCAATGACCAGGATCAACCCCAGGAGAGACAACCTTAGCATAACATCAAATATTTCTTTTATTCCCATATGCGCCCATTTCTCATTACTTGTTAAGTCACTGAAGGCATGAATTCCCTCTGAGGAGTCACTCACCTATGCAGGCATGGACCCTCACTGACAGCTGTGTCCTTAGGATAATGCTGTTCTTCTTGACCCTCCTAAAGGAGACAGGAGACAAGACGTGATCATCAGAGAGGCTGGCTAAGGAGAATACCTCACTCATATGTTGTCCAACAAATGTTTTTCCTGAACTTCAAAGTTCTGAGATACCCACCAGAAAGATGTTCCAGATAAGGATGCTAAAACGGACAGGAATCTGTCCTGCCAGAATATGTCAGAAAGCTTTCAAAAGAATAAAATACTAAAGTTTTATTTCACTGGAATAGTGTACATATTTTATTGCCAAATTCCATCAACTCATTCCTCCGCAGAATTTGCATGTAGTCACGCTTGACCATGTTGGGAAAGTTTTAAGTTCTATGCCCACGAAATGAAATCTCTGGAATGTGACAACACAAACCCCCTTGATCATTTTACAGTTTTGGAAAATGGGAAAAGGGAACACACTGTAGGATAATCAGGAAGACCACTTTGCTGGGCTTCAATATAAGACTGTTGCGGTTTTTTTCTCTTAACCTTACTGTAACAGGAAGACAGGAGTCACTAAAGGATATGTATACCCTATCTAGCATCAGGAACAACTGCTTATCTGTCCCTACCCATCTCACCTTGGTTTCCTTCTCGTAAGAAAGAGAAGAAAAAAGGGAGGAGTTTTCCCAATTCCGCTCTAAGGACGGCTCACCTTGCGCTGTGCCAAGAAAGCCTAAAGCATAAAGCAGCTGACAGAAGAAGATGAGGAGGAGAAAAGTTGAGTATTGGCTGCCTGGAAGTTAAAAAAACAACAAACATAGACTTTGCAATTCTCAAAGGTAAACAAAAAACCTTTAAAAGTGAGGTGTAGTCAGTCAGTCAACCAAAAAAAGGTATCTGTCTGTCTTTGGCTGGGTTCTCCTCCCATTGTTCTTCTGGTCTCCAAGTAGCTCTCCTCTCCCTCTCAGAGCTTCATTTACAACCGACTCAGAACTTTCTAGTTCTGTGCCTGTGTGCTTGTGGTGGAGAGCAGTGGGGCACAGATCTCATTAGGGCATGTGGTTAACATGGTATGGATTCACATTCATGACTGAAATCATTGCGGTTCTTTTATTCTCAAGAATGGAGCGGTCAACTTAAATGAACTAATTTTTATTCTTTTTCAGATGAGCCCCTGGTGTGGAGCAATGGTTAAGCGCTCAGCTGCTAACACAAAAGTCAACAGTTCAAATCTACAGGTCACTTTGTAGGAGAAACACGTGACAGTCTGCTTCCAGGAAGGTCTACAGCTCCGGAAACCCTACTCTGGACCATCGGACGCTAAAAGTTAGAATCAAATGGAAAGCCGTGGGTTTGGTTTTTCAGCCCTCTTATTAAGGATTCCCTGGTGGCTTAGTGGTGAAAGAGCTTCCCCACCAACTCTAAGGCAAGCCGTTCAAATCCACCAGCTGCTCTGAAAGAGACAGAGCAATCTCCTCTGGTGTGATTTACAGCCTCTAAAAACCCACTGGAGGGTCAGCTATAAGTTGGTTCTAAATCAATAGCAATGTGTTGTTTATGTTTTTAAAAGAAAAACAAAAACTAGTTGTATATCCCACAAAAGCTTGCAACAGTATCCTCCTTTTTATTTCACTTGTTATTGGTTTTATATTTTCTCTAAGTAAGATACTGACCTCAAAGATCATACAGTGAATACACACCACCTAACTCATCTTCAAAAGACAGGTTCCGGATTCCTGTAACGCAGATTTCCATAAAACGTTCCTCTTGATGAGAAGTCTTTTTCTCTTTCAACAATCTTGATATTGATGCACCTTCCTCTCTTGTGGACAAACCAGGAAGAATATTTTGAGTAAACTCTCTGAACATAAATGCTGAATAACTTCCTTGAAGAGCCTTTTGTTTGGCTGCCAAGAACAATGTTTCGGGGTGGCAGCAGTATTCAGGAGGTGTGTGTTCTCACCCTGAGCTCGGTGGGGCTCAAGTTAAGAGTACAAAACCAGTGGGTGAACCCCTGATGGTTCCAGTCCTTAACTACTACAAAAAGCAATCTGAAATCCTCAGGTCTGTAACTCACATTAGCAGCTGTTAGGAGTCAATGACACAAGCTGAATGTATGACAGACACCCAAAAGGGGAATGCACAGTGGCCAGAGAAAGTGTACAGAGAACACCTCAAATTTGGAGAATTTCAGAAGTGGCCCTTCCAGGGACCCTGCTTTCATCTCTAAACTGCTGCAGGGTAAGCGCTTGTCTTCTCAGAGAGCTCTGTTTCCATGAATGCTCCAATTCCAGAAACCTGGGTGAAAACTAGGGCTGTCTTCCCAAGGAAGTCACACTGGCCTGTCACCTTGGAGAGTCACCTTTTCGGAGCCTGTGATAAGAAATCAAGCAACTGGTTTAGTTACATGGAATCCACACAGAATTTTAAAATGGCTTGTTATATAGCTGATGTCTTATACCATTACATGAGATAGATAATACTGGACTATGAGGTTTTTACATTAAGAGAGAACTGCCAGATGTACAATCTGGGTTTAGAAGAGGTCATGGCACTAGAGACAGATGTCAAATGGATCTTGGCTGAAAGCAGAGATTACCAGAGGAAAGTCTATATGTGTTTCATTGACTATGCTAAGGCATTTTACTATAGTTTCCAAGGTTGCATATCTTTTGCAGAAGCCTCTGTCTCCTGTGGCACAGCTGGTGGGTCTGAAGCACCGACCTTTTGGGTTAACAGCTGAGTGTTTTACCACCATGCCTCCACGGAGCCTTTCCTTATAATAAACAAAGTCCAAAATGATGTCTATCACACAACAGTGGACAGAAGGCATTCCCAAAAAGGTTCTTTTAGGTTTAGTGGCTTTCTAATCCTCTACCAAGGAGCTCTGGTGGCATGGTGTGGCATGTATCAGGCTACTTAACAAAAAGATTGCTAAATAAAAGGCCAGCAGTCTGGATTCACCAGCAGCTCTGTAGGAAAAAGATAAACTGTTTCTGTAGGGGTTTACAGTCTTGGAAGCCTGACGGGAAGTCACTAAGAGTTGGAACTGATACAGTGACGCCGTTGCTCTTCAGTACTCTTTGCGATGTCCCTGACAGCTGACTTTCCCAATGCAATTCATCTCTTCATTTCCTGGCTGCTGGTACCAAGAGTGTTGACTGGGAAGCCAAGCAAACTAAAACTGTCAGCGATCTCAATTTCTTCACCATCCATACTGATGCTGCCAATTGGTCCAGTGGTGAGATTCTTTGTTTTCTTGATGTTGATCTTCAATCCATATAGGAGGCTGCAGTGCTTGACCTTCTGCAGCAAGTGCTTCAGGTCCTCCTCAGTTGCAGCAAGCATGGTTGTGTCATCTGCATAACGCACGTTGTTGATGATTCTTCCACCAATCCTGATGCCACATTCCTCCTCGTATAGCCCAGCATCCCGGATGATCTGTTCTGCATACAGATTGAAAAGGTATGAAGAAAGAATACATCCTTGGAGGACGCCCTTCCCAATTTTGAACCATGCAGTGTCTCCTTGCTCTGTTCTGATAAATGACTCTTGGTCCAAGTATAGGTTTCACATAAGCACAATCAAATGTTCTAGGATTCCCATTCTTCTCAGAGTCAGCCACAGCTTGTTGTGAAAAGCCTTTGCATAATCAATGAAGCACAGACAGACATTCCTGTGGTATTCTCTGCTTTCTGCTAAGATCTATCTAACACTAGCTATAATATCCCTAGTACCACGACCTCTTCTAAATCCAGCCTGCACATCTGGCAGTTCTCTATTAACGTGTTGTTCCAGTAATTTTTGAATAATTTTCAGCAGAATCTTGCTTGCATGTGATATTAATAATATTGTTCGATGATTTCTGCACTCTGTCGGGTCACCCCTCTTTGGAATGGGAACAAATATCGACTCTTATGGCATGAATTGTCATGTGCCAGGCAAGGTTCTAAGTACTCTGTACGTTGCTGTTGTTGTTAGGAGGAGAATACAACACATAGAAATCCTGTGAACCACGGATCTGAACCCTGTCCAATCCTGCTATCCTCATCATCTTCACTATACGTGAGCCCATCGGCACTGTGTCAATGAATCTCACTGAAGGTCTTTTTCTTTTTTGCTGAAACATCACATTTCCAAGCATGATGCACATTTCCAAGGACTGGCCTTGGAATCAATGAAATCTATGAAAATGTCCCTCTTCTCCTTCCATCATGATGTTTCCTATTGGCCCAGTGGTGAGAACTTTCATTTGCTTGATGTTGAAACGTAATCATATTTAAAAGTGTAGTCTTCATTCTTCCATGGTAAGCGTTTCAAGACTTCTTTACTTTCCACAAACAAGATGTGTCTTATATATACCACAGTTTTCTAATGAGTCTTCCTCCAATCCTGATGCCACAAAAATTTATCCTTCACAAAATTTCTATGAAGTGGGCAATATTACTGTATTGTAAAGATGAGGAAATTGGGGCCCAGAAGCATTAGGCTGAAGTCACACAGGCAGAAAGTGATATATTTTTAATTCAAGCCAGGTTGCCTGAGGTGAGGGCTCTGCTCCTATCACCACCCTACAGCTACTTCACAGGTAAGTGCCACCTCATTCATTTCTGCATTCAAAATGTGAGGCTCAAAGATGCCCATGATGCACCTGGCCTTATGGGGGGGGAGGTACACAGACCATCTTGAGGTACATGGAGTTCCACATTCCAAAAGTGGCATCCATGAGAGGCTATCAATGTAAACTAAACTCCCTGTCACATGAATGAACCTTTCTGTCCTGGAACTGGCTGTCTGCATCAGCTTCGTATCTGCCACTCCCAAGTCCACCATTCCACTGTAGAATGAAATGGAAATGTAACAAGTAACCCAACTCTGATCATCCTGAAAGCAAAACCCATGCAGCCTGACCTGGAAGTCCTCAGGAAGGGTCAGATTCCATTCCTATCAGCACAGCCAGTGCCAGAGAAACATCACCAGCTTCTGTGTCCAGCCACCTTCAGAATTGGCAGCCACAGCCAATCAGCCACCCATGTCCATGGCCAATGCTACCCAAATGATGAGGGAG